ATTTGGAAGTCCATGCGAGTAATACGGGAGAAGGTGCGTCGGATCATCCGTAAAATGGCGAATGCCTTTTGGGCCGATTTCTCATGGTGCAGCGAGAAGGACAAGTTTGAGGAGACCCATATACCCAAATCCTTTTTGGCATCTATCCTCATGATGTTTTCTGATCCCTTTTCACCGTGCATAACAAAGGCATTCGCTGAATTCCCTCCAAACGACATAGGGACGCACTTTTCATTGTTCAGAGGAAGGTCCCAGTTCAACAACTACTACTTTGCAGCGTCTACATCCATTTGGGGGGCATTGGCATTGGTACTCCAGGATTTAAGTCGCCCGCGAAAAGTAGACATGGACTGGCAAGAACGTCTGGGAGGTCGTTGACGTAGATCGGAATCAGCATTGTTCTAACTGACGTCGCTGGTCCTCGCCAACCAAGCATGAGAAGACAGACGATTCTGGGATGCGTTTGTGCGCACGCTCGGAATGCCTTATCCGGCGCAAATCGGGTTGATAATTAGGAAGTAATAGCTGCATTTCCTCATCTAAGTTCTCAATCTGAACCTTCTAACTCAACTTTCGGCTCCTCACCCTCGGAGGCAGCAGAGAGAGAGGTGAAATAGTTGTCCACAAACTGCCCCAGCCTTTTCAGCAAACTCGGCGATGTTGAACTGTCACCTAGCATTGTACAACCGTCCATAATCGCACTCACAGAGACCTGGCTCAAACCAGATGTTTGTGACGCGGGGATCTCGATAGACGGTTGCCCTATTTTTCGGGCTGACTCAAAACGAGGGAGGGCTGGTGGGGTTGCTCTGTAGTTACATGCGGCCCTACCAATACCGATTGTTCTCTCTGACACCACCTCTGCACCCTTTTGCGATGCACTATGGGTCCAAATCCCGCTGCGCGTACCCAATTCTCTCCTTCTCGGCTTGGCCTACCGTAGCCCTTCGAGTCCCACTGAAGATGACGAATTCCTCATACAACCTCTTGAGCAACTCTCCTCCAACTACCATTTCACCCATCTCCTGACGGTAGGTGACTTCAACGCCCCAAAGGCCTCCGGGTTTGAACTCCAGCGCGTCGAAGCAGGCGGAATTTTGCAGCGGCGCTGTTAGAAGTCGTTCAACAGAGCGCTTGGACCCAATATGTCGCTGCACCCACCAGATACCGCGCAGGCCAACTACCATCCCTC